TATGTATATGACGTTTGTGTCTGGCTTCTTTTGCTTAGTCTGTTTTTGAGGTTCATCCACATTGTAACATATATCAGTACTTCATTCTTGTTTATAGCTGAATAATATCATTACATGTGTATACATTCATCTGCTGATGGACATTTGGGTTTTTTCCACCATTTGACTATTGTGAATAGTGCTGTTATGAATATTCGTGTACAAGTATTTGTCTGAGTCCCTGTTTGCAGTTCTTTGGGTATATATTTGGGAGTGGAATTGCTGGGTCATAAGATAATTTTATGTTTAACTTTTTGAGGAACCTCCATACTTTCCCTCAGCAGCTGCAACATTTTACATTCCACCATCAAAGTAGGAGGGTTCCAATTTCTCCACATCCTTACCAACACTTATTTTGCCATTTTTCAATTATAACCATCCTTATGGGTATGAAATGGTCTCTTAGTGGTTTCTATTCGCATTTCCCTAATGAGCATCTTTTCATGCGTTTGTTGGCCATTTGCATATCTTTGGAGAAATATCTGTTCAAGTTCTTTAATCATTTTTTAATTGGGTGTTTTTGTTGTTGTTGTTGAGTTCCTTATATATTCTGGATACTAGACCCTTATATTTTCTCCCATTCTGTAAGTTTTCTTTTCACTTTCTTGATAATGTCCTCATTATTTAACTTAGGGGTTTTTTGGGGGGAGGGGGGTTTTAAGTAACATGTATAACATGTAAACAGTGCAGAAAGGCAAACAGTAAAACGCAATTTCTTGTGTATCCTTTTAGCAACAATCTGTGCATATACACACACATGTGGAATGTATATTCCCTCCTCCTCCCTCCTCCATTTTTACACAAATGGTGGCTTATAGACTGTTCCCACTGTATGGATATATCATAGTTTTTATTTAAGCAGTATCCTCTTTTGTGGACATTTAGGTTGTTTGAAGCTTTTGACTGTTACACATATACACAAGGTAGTAACTAGATATATACAAGTTAGTATAAATATATACAAGCTAGTATTTATCTCCTGGATATACAGAGAAGTAGAAATTATTTCTGAAGCATGGTTTTCTTCACATTTGGAGGTTGTTTCCTAAGCATTTTTAAGAATCTGCTAAGTTATTTTTATTAATTTATCATATGGGTAGTATTTTTTATGGCAAACTTCACAATCTATGCATATTTTTTTTTTTGGAATAAAAATTATAAGTATCAGAACCAGCCTTACACAAGGTTATAAAGTAGAAAGGATTTCCTCTTCTCACTTCTGTTATACTGTTTTCCCTTCTAATCTCCCCCAGAAACAATTGTTTTCAGCTTAAAAAACTTAATTGTTCAATATGCCATCTTTTCTAGTGTTATTAAATGTTTAACCCTTCCCTGGTTGTAGAAAGTGTAAAATGATTTTAGAGCAGAAAGAAGCTTAGAGCTAACAATCAAATCCTCAAATTTTAAAGTAAAACAGAGCTGAGGACTGCCCAGATGCTATGCTGTTCATGTCAGTGCTAAGAGAACACAAGTTTCCAGTTGCCCAAAGCAAGGCTCTCTCTACTCACTGCAATGACTCGCTTCATTCTTGTTAAAGAACATGAAAATGCTACTTGTCTCTAGGTAGAGTTTCTGGGGGCAGTAAGATTATGACAGTTTCTCTAACACTAAAATAAATATCTAGTTCACCAACCATTAAGTCAGGCCCTTTATCTAGGACCACTTACCAATACTGGGAACATTCAACAGTGATTTCTAAAAGTACTTTAAGATTTTTGTTCATTTAAGAATTGACAGGAAATGCTTTGCATAAACTAAAAGTATAATGATTAAATGATATTGATTGCTGGAGGTGAATCTCTTACATAAATTCATGGTAATCTTGTTACTGAAAGTATGCTTTGATATTTTAATATCCCTGACAATGTGTTTCTCCCTTACCTTGTGCAAGGAGATATAACACACAGAAATTAGGAAATTTAATAAGGTAACTCATCTGTAAAGGAATCTGTATTTGTCATGAGTCAGCGTTTATTTAGCTCCCTTTTGAACAGGGCACAGTGTTAACATCTGGAATATAAAGATAAGGTATCATCCTTGTCTTCTAGGAGCATAAATTTTATTTGCTAAGATAAAACATTCCAGACAATGTTGTTATTCTGCCCTGAAAGAGTTTTCAGTCTGGTGTTCAATTGACTTAAAGTATTTTGATTGATCAGAATTCTGATCTGTTTGTATGAAGGAATAAATGTCCACTAGAAACTATCTGAAAATGATATAAGGGCTTCAGATAGTTCTATCATGAACTGAAGCAAGCTACCCTTAAGAGGTAATCTACTTGGAAAACATCAGCATTCTTCATAGTGTAGTTCTATGAACCTGGTGTCATATATGTATTTTAACATAGCATCCTGGCAACAGTATTTGATATTAATTGGGGAAAAGGTTACTGATACCCACTGAATTACTTAACTGTATAAGTGTTTAAAGAAACTCAGCACTGTGAGAATCAAGGCTTAGTACGGTAGGTTTGGATTAGGTTTCTTTTTTTTTTTTCCTTTTCCTTTTTGTCTTTTTTCGTGTCCGTCAACGGATCGCAACCCTCAGTGTCGCACCCGTACCGGACCGGGACTGGCAACGGGATCGCAACCCTCGGTGTTGCTCCCGCACCTCGCTCAGCCAGTGAGCGGGAACTGGTCTGTATGTGGGATCCGAACCCTCGGCGGGAGCGCCGCCACACTCCCAAGCGGCGCACTGTAGCAGTGCGCCACCGGGCTGGCCCTAGGTTTCTATTTTTAACTTGGCAAAACAAACACACTTAAAATGTACATTTATGAGACAAACTAATACTTCTAACAGAAGTAAAAAATATGTCACAACTTCGTTGGCATTTGAAGTGGACACTATGGTGTGCTGCCCAGGTAGTTACACACACACACACCCCCCAAAGCATTCACTTCCCCAGCTTCTGGGAATGTTGCTGTTCGATGGCTCTCAACTGAGTCCCTCTCCAGGTACTGTCTAGAGCCCAAGATTATGCCCCTTGCACCCAATGACTAATCCACACAGATGTGAAAGGCCCATCCCCTTGCCTCAACATGGCCTAATTGCAGGGCCATCCCAGCTCCAAATAATTAGCTGAGGGCTTTCCTGACTGTATCCCAGCCCAATTTCTCCCTCTTTGCTAGTCCTGCTTCTTCACTGCCTAAGAGTGTTGATCTTGGAAACCATTCTATTTAAGCTTTCCACACCCTAATCTCCATCTCTGTGTCTGCTCTGCAACAACATTCTCAACCCAAAGTCAAGAAAATCACTTGTTTTCACTTAAACAACCAAACTATTTCTGCTGATTTTTTTTCTTTCCTGTTCTTCTATTTGCAGGACAAGAAAAATGGTTACCTTCAGCCTTTTCTGATTCTTAGTAAATATTTTATGAAAATGTAAAACATAACCCAATAATACATCACTTGGTAGAGCATCCAGTTGTCTTACTGACATTCCCCACCTCTTCCCCACCCGCATCCATTTTTAATACCTGTCTCCAAAGTTAGAGATCTTAAAAGAACTGAATGCCACTCAATATATTCATTTCTTTTTTTCTCTTTTCTTTTTTTTTTAGCTGGCTGATACAGAGGTCAAACCCTAGACCTTGGTGTTATCAGCACCACACTCTAACTTAGTTAACCAGCCAGCTCCAAAATACATTCATTTCTAATTACATATCTAAATGGGATTGGTTTTTCATTATAGTGTTGGTGATATGCCTTCCATGTTCATGGCGTAGTACTGGTATTTTATGGATTCAGTAAGCTATAGATATTTTTATTTCATGTGCATTAGAATTACATTGAACTGGTTCATAACAGAATGCTTGCAACTTTTAATTCACCTTTATTAAAGTAAAACTGCTACTTGAATATATCAGAAAATAACATAGTGGGTATTTTCACATCTGAGATACTAGTAAAAAGGTTAAAAAGGAGGCGGTCTTATTTTTAATGTTATGTGAAATAAATCTATCTCTAGTAACAAATACCATATTGGGATTATAATATTCTTTTGGTCTAAATTTGTTTAAGCTATTGTTTAAACTTTTGTATTATAAAAAGAAAAGTTCACGTGTGTGTGACTTCATTCATAAAGTCTATCAAAGAAATCATAAAACAGTGTAGCAATCACTTAACCCAAAAATCAACACCCTCTAAATGGCACGTATCTTTTTCATTACTTGATTATGATATACTAGGTACTAGGGAAGCAACAATGGAAGAGGCCGAAGCATTCCTGTCCCGCAATAAGATTACAGACTACTGGGGAACACAGACAATGAATGAGCAATTACAAGTACAATACAGAAGGAGCTTATACTTGGGGAGTTAACCTCTCGTGGAGGGATGAGATTTAAATCTTCTTTTAAATGTCATTCAGTACATTAAAAGGAGGCAGGGAAAGCTAGGAAAGAAATATACAGAAATATTTGAGAAAGGGTAAAGCTGAAGGAGAAAACCATAGCATTTTATTTGAAGAAAACCATAGCATTTGACTTGATTCCAGTCCAAGATTTTAGATGCTTTCAAAAAGTAAATAAAAATTTATTTTTATTTATTCCTTTGTTTATATACCTAAACATGGAATTAAGCCAAAAGCCATGACATGAGACCCCAGAAAACTCATTCCAATAGCACTAACAGCTCAGGGAACATATGTTAATCCTCTTGTTTTATATTCAGAAAATTTGAAAACTGAGATAAACAAGATATATCTCAGAATGTGTTTAAAAGAATTTGCATGGGCCGGCCTGTGGCTCACTTGGGAGAGTGCGGTGCTGAAAACACCAAGGCCACAGGTTCGGATTCCATATAGGGATGGCCGGTTCGCTCACTGGGAGAGCATGGTGCTGACACCAGCAAGTCAAGGGTTAAGATCCCCTTACCGGTTATCTTTCTAAAAAAAAAAAATATTAAAAATAAATAAATAAATAAAAGAATTTGCATGATTTAACCTCACCAACACAAGCTCACTAGTTGAAAGACACCTTTATACCAGTCCTTCATCATATCATCAATAAGTATTGTTTATCAAGAGGGAACAGCATGGGATACAGAAACACAAACCAAAATCTCACACTTTCCTTTAATGTTAATTGAACTTCAGAGTGAGTAAAATATGACTAAAAATCACAGCAATGTGAAAAAGCTTTGTTCTAAAACTGTACATATGCTCTGTCCCTTGAGAACCTTTGGTTAAGACTTTTTTGTGCAGTAAGCCACTTCATTTAAATATGATTAGATTCCCAGTCTAAGACCTTAATTGACACAATAACAACCAACTATAAGTCCTCACTCTGGTTTCTCTTCTGTGCTTTGTAAATATGTACATCTTTTTCAGGATCATAGTGAACCTTACTCACAGTAAACTGCCTCTCCAGCATCACTAAGAAGTTGTTATCCCGTTCATAACGAATTCGGCAAGCTAAAAGAATCACAGAGTGGTTGCTACAGAGATGTTCCAGTGTTTGAAGAAGATCTGTGAATGTTTCTTCTAAATATATGATATCAGCTCCAAGTATCAGGTCAAATTCTCCAGGTGAAAAACTCCCCAAATTTTGTCCCCACGTCAGCTCCTTAACAACAGCTTTGGGTTGGATATGCGGAGGTAAGTTGGCTTGAACGTTTGATTTAAGAAATTCTAATGCTACTTTTCGATCGGTGATAGTCACATGAGCACCTACAATGTGGGACAAAGAGAAAATGATGTGCACATCAGTACAATTCTAATAGGTAGATAGGGAGTCAAGTTAAACATAGAGTAGCTCTAAATATTCCATCTATTGATCAATAGATGAATATTTAGAGCAGACTAAATATTCCATGTAAGGCAGACTATCATGCCCTTCATGGACAGGTGCAACAGAGCAGAACAATGACTAATAGCTCCTTCTGCACTTCCTACTGCTAAAAGCGAACCTTTGATTTGCCTCTCTGACACACCTGCTGTTTGCTGAAGTTGTGCCTATAAATTGCAGAGCCATCAAGTGACACAAGCTGATGTTTCTGAATTGTACAAGCAGAGCTGGCCCACACTCCACAGTATCTACCACTATACTTCATTCATTAGGTCATGATCTTCAATCAAGTCAGTCAACCTCAAGGTAAAATGGAATCCAAGAATGAAAAATCTGGGAGAAGATTATTATTAAGATGACAAGGGCCGGCCCGGTGGCGCAGTGGATAGTGCGCCGCTTGGGAAGCGCGGCGGCGCTCCCGTCCGAGGGTTCGGATCCCACATACAGACCGGCTCCCGCTCACTGGCTGAGCGAGGCGCGGGAGCAACGCCGAGGCTTGCGATCCCGTTGCCGGTCCCCGGTCCGGTACGGGGGCAACACTGAGGGTTGCGATCCGTTGCCGGACACGGGGAAAAAAAGACAAAAGACAAAAAAAAAAAAAAAAAAAAGATGACAAGATACCTAAACCAAAGAAAGAGTATTTCGTGAGTTTAAAGTTTAAGAATGAATCATGGAAGAGATAAATTGGCTACTAAGAAATCCCAGTCCACCACTCATTATGCTGTTGTGAAGCAGCCAAACTGTGTGTTAACTGTAAACTTAAAAGTTACTGGATTATATTTAGTGTAACTAATTGCTAGCTCATGTTCTTTAAATGCCAAGTTTCTACATGTAGTGTAAAAAATTAATGAGGCAATATTTTATTAATCTGTTTCTCATGGGTTGTTGACAAGGAACTAAAAGATCTAATTTTTTGAACCAGTATGGGTGGGAGAAGACTGAACTATAGCTACCCAAATGTGAAGCAACCACATAAGGTCAGCTCTAATACACCTCATCTACACTGCAGGAACAATAAGTGTAATCCTACTTAGTTCTGGCCCCAGAAATTCTGAAATTTAAAATTATGTCTCTAAAATTATTTCTCATTTGCATTCTTCTTCAGTTTGTAATCATCATAGATAATCCCTGGCAGGATTCCAGACCAGCTGTAATAGGCACCATTTCAGCAGCAGCTTATCCTTAGTGTTTCTTATCTTGACTCATAACATTAGGATAGTATGTACATAATTCGATTTGACATTTATAGTTCTGGTGCATGATATTGACGGAGATGCTCAAGTTGTTAGACTTTATAAGCCTGGACCTACCACTGTGATTGTTCTAGACAATGTGCTACCCAATGAGCAAAATTCAATGACAGTTTTCATTTCTTCTGATAGTAAAAATTGCAGACAGCCTTTCCCTGGTCTGACTTAGAACTTTATCTCTGGATTTCTTAACAGTCCACACAGCACTCTGCTGGCAATACTAGAGTGATCTCTAGTCTTTTACAAATCACCTTGGTATTCATTTTAATAGTTTTTAGGTACAGACCTTCTCTAATGCCTGTCTCAGGGATTTCAGAGACTCTTTTTCTTTTTTTGCAGCTGGCCAGTAAGTGGATCCGAACCCTTGACCTTTCATGTTATAACACCACACTCTAACCAACTGAGCTAATGGAGGCTATTTCTAACCTGCTAGGTATTCCAGAAGTTTGAATAAGATCTTAATGTCAGCTGACCATTCCCCTGTAATATCCATCAATTCTACAAATTTCTGAGTGGCCATGGGACAAAAACCCCTACCCTCATAGAGCTTCCTCAATGAGTAGCTTATTCAAGTGAGGAGATAGGCAATACAATGTTTTTTTAAAAAGGAGAATATCCAGTATATTAGTTGGTGATATTTTCTAAGGAAAAAAATAAAGCAGGAAAGAAGGACATGAAATGTCAAGAAGGGGTATGGGTGTGAAATTTTAGACTGGATAGATAGGGAAGGCCTCACTTAGAAGGTGACTTGGGTAAAAGCCCGAAGGGAGTGAGGGAATAACCAACTGCATATCAGGGGGAAGAACATTCCTGGCAAGCGGAAGAACAAGTGCAAAGGCCTGGAGGGGGCAGGCAAGGAGGCTAGAGTGGCTGGAACAGACTGAATAAGGAAGAAAGTCACTAGAGATGAGGGCAGAGAAGTCATGGGAAAGGAGGCAGATCATCTAGGACCTCATAGGTGATGCTCCGAAAAGGCTTTGGCTTTTAGTGAGTGACATGGGAAGCCACTGGCAAGTGCTGAGCAGAAGTATGAATGGTCTGACTTAGGTTTTTATAGAATTTCTGGCAGTGGGACAAGGCCGGAAGCAATGCAACCAGTGAGAAGGCCACAGTGATCCAGGTGAAGGATGCTGGTGGCCTGCACCTTGCTGCAATCATCCCCAGACACCCTCCCCAGGCCAGCTCCCAAATGCAACTGCACATGAGTAAACACTCTCCTGCCTTTCCCGGGAATCACTCCCCTATTATTCACTTGAGTTTACCCCCCAAATGCCCTTCCCCGAACATTATAGCTTTGCCTACGGCTTTTTGGTTTTTTGCTTGTTTGGGGTGGGGGGAGCGGAAGATGTCTTAAGTCTATCTTTTAATCTATCAGTTTGCTTTCCATCTTTTTTTCTCTTGCAATTTACAGAAGAAACAGATTATTTGTCCTCTAGTTTCTCACAGTCTGTATTTTACTACTTGCATCATTTGTGTAGTTTAGCATGTGCCTCTGTTCTCTGTATCTCCTGCAAATTTGTTTCATTTTCTGAACGGGACCACTTCAGAGGTAGTGGCATATTCTTCATCAAAGTGGTACGTAATGTCTGGTAGGCTCTATTTTTGTGACATGAGCAGCTACTGATACTCAATGCCCAGATCCTTAGTTCATTATATTCCTTTTGCATTTGTTGAGAAACTTCTATAAAGAGGTGCTTCTCACAATTACTGTTTGGTTACTCATCTTGTAATAGGAACTGTCTGAATAGGAAAGGCAGGATAAATTCTGCTTCTTCATCCCCTTTCATAAACTAGATTTCAAAATAAATAGTTGCGGGCCGGCCCGGTGGCGCACTGGAGAGTGCGCTGCTTGGGAGCGCGGCGGCGCTCCCACCGAGGGTTCGGATCCCATGTGGAGACCGGTTCCCACTCACTGGCTGAGCGCAGTGCGGGCGCAACACCGAGGGTTGCGATCCCGTTGCCGGTCCCCGGTACGGGCGCGACACCGAGGGTTGCAATCCCGTTACCGGTCAGTAAAAAAAGACAAAAAGGAAAAAATAAATAAATAAATAAATAGTTGGCTTCTCAGTATCATCCAAAGATGACTAATTAGGTTTATTTTGTTGTTGTGAACTCATGGATTAAACATATTTGATGTATTTTTAATCCACAGCAGTTACTATTAATGTTCAAACTGACCCATCGTTTGCCAGTGGCCTTTGAGACAACCTAAGTCATCTTTCATAGCTTCCTTGCTATCTGGTATGACAAGATACTCTAGGCTCATCTTATACATTTCATGCTATAGACCTACAACCAGCCATTTAGTACGTTTCTATTTTTTTATTTTTTTAAAGATGGGAGACATAACAGCAACTTTGTATGCTAATGGGAATGATCAGGTAGAGAGGGGGAAAAGTGGCAATGCAGGAGCAATGTCCTTGAACAGGTGAGAGGAGACAGGATCTCTGGCACAAGTAGAGGGCTGACCTGAGACAAGACAGACATGTCATCTACAACATCAGAACAAACGCAGGTAGGGGTAAAGGCAGTGGTGGGAGGCTGTGGAAGTTCTCCTCAGATTCCGTCAGTCTTCTCAGTGAAATAAGAAATGTCATTAGGAAGATGGCGACGGGTCTGGAGCGGCAGTGACAGGAGACAGCGCGATCCTGTGAGCCGTGCGCTGTGATACCAGGGTATTGATTGCATTTCCAAGAGCAACAAAAGGCGAATAATTCTTTCAACAACGATCCTACATCGACAAACAAGCGGCAGCAGGTTCGAGGTTTTGGGGCCGACACAGAGGAGGACTCCTGAGAGCGCCCAAGCCCGGCTGCGGGAACGAGCGATCAGCCCAGACAACAAAGGCCAGGAGGGCCAGCAAAGNCCCCGGCCAGCGTCGGGGGGGCAGGGAAGAGGAGCCCGCCCAGATCGTCTCTCCGCCACACAATGGGCGTCGGCCCCAGATAAACACCCTCTTCCTGAGAGGCAGATTCCATCTCTGGGGACCTCAGTTTGGAAGAGCCCCTAACTGATTTCTGGTGGGGAGAGGGGAGCCTGGAGACCCCTCGAGCTACATTGAAGTTTACTAGTCAGCTCTCCAAAAGCGCTGACCCGTGCGGGGGAGAGTCAAAGAGGAATTGTGTGCTGAGGGACCCTCCCCCGAAGAGTTCACTCCCGGCAGTCAGAGAGTCAGGACACCTGCTGGGCAGGGTGGGGCACATCACAACTTTGACGACTCAACTGAAAGTCAAGGTTTGTAGAAGACACGCCTCAGCCCTGTCCTGAGCTCACAGAGTGGGGAGGGGCCCAGCTAAAGGAGGCGGAATCTCAGAAATAAATAAAGAAAGAAAGATCAGGTGCACAGTCAGCAGGAACGATCTGCAAGGCTCAATAGCCCCATCTATTGAATCGGAGGTCCAAGATTCGAGAGATTTCCCTCTCGAAAACCCTCTCGA